GCTTCCCTGGACAATGCGTGTGCACCTGCCCCACGGGCCTCCGGGGGCCCACTCACCATGATGCCGTTGTGGATGAAGCCACGGCGGTAGCGGGCCGGCTTCAGGTGGGGGTACTCCTCCGTGCTGGTCACGCGGATACTCCACACCTGCTTCCAGGCCTCGTACAGCTGCACGTGCACAGGATACACGCCCGAGTGGTGGGGCGCCACGGCATAGCCCATGTCCGTGGGGATGCCATGCTCCTGGGGGGGAGGAGGGCCAAGGCAGGGTGAGCATGGGGTTCCTTCCCCACTGGGTCTTATTTTCCCTTTCTAGAATGGGAGAGAGCAATCACAGGCTAGAATGGCAGGGTAGTGGGTCCAAGCCTTTCAAGTACAGATGGGAAAGCTGAGGCTCAGGGAGGAAAGGGATGTGCCCAGAGTCTCGGAGTGAGGGACTGACCAAGCTGGGACCCTTAACTCTCAGCCCAGAGTTCTTGCCCTCCAGCTCCCAGGAGTGAGGAGCAAGGACAAACGCATTTCCTGCCAGTCTTGGCCTCTGACTGGCTGGTGGGCCCAGGCTAAGCCCATACCTGGGCCTTGTTCCCTCTTCCCTGAGCACCAGCTCCAGCTTTCCTGAGCCTTCCACTCTGGCCTGAAGAGCTTGGGCTCAGGAAACAAACAGGCCTGGGTTCAAGTCCTGATGGGACCTCCTCCTAGCTGGTATGTAGCCTCCCTGAGTGTCGGTTTCTAATCTAAAAGTGAGAATATCGAGAACCACCTCTTGGGGTCTCTGTGAGGCTTCAGAAAGACAGTGGCTATAAAGATACTTATAAAATGCTGTCAGACGGAACTGCGCAAGCAGTGAGAGGCCAGCAGTCCAGACCCCCAGCCCAGCCCCTAGCCCGCCCAGCTCCGCCCTGTAGGGAATCTTACTCACGACAGCGAACTTCTTGTTCAGGGCCATCTGCTCGGCCAGCACCGACTGGTTGTGGAAAAGGTGGGGCTGCATGTGACTCCACATGTGGGGGAACCACCAGAACTCCTTCACATACGACAGCAGCAAATCGTCCCCAGCGTCCTCGGCATCAGTACCTAGAGTCAGAACACAGGCAGCTCGGCCCGGCCCACCCCCATAAGGTTCTCCAGCCTGAGCTGGTGCCCGCAGATGGGCGTATGCAGCCCAAGCCAACCCGAGAGGGCTGCTTGGGAGAGTTACCTGAGCTACAGCATGGGAGCAGACAGAGCCCCAGTCCAGGGCCCTGCATTCTAGAGTGTAGACTTCACTCAGTGCGTGACTTTGGCCAAGTCCTTCTCCTCTCGGCGCCCTTGGGCCCCATGTGTGCAATCCATGGTTCACAGGCAATGATTGCGATGGTTTCTCCTAGCTCTGACATGCCTGCTCTGATCCTGTTTTCCTAGCGGGCCATTTGGCATTTGCCTTTTACTTAATGATCGGAGCTCTTTAAACATGTACAGGATGTCTAATCCCGCCTCATGCATATTGCTACAACTACCTCTGATATGTTGAGGGCTGAGAATATGAAAAATGCATACAGACAACCCTATTTGGTTTTGGGACCCTGTT